AGGTCAATCTTTTACAGCAATTCAGATCTCCATGTTTCTTGGACCCGCAATATGCACATCTCGTGTTTGGGGTCGCTGATGATGGGCCGGGTCGCTGGTCTACTGCCTGGCGATGTTGGTCGGCCACCCTAGTTCGTAGATTCGTTGAGAACCTCCCACTTGGGTCCCTCCCCGCTTCTTGCTCCATAAGGTAGACTCGTCTTAGATCTCCTTCGTTCTCCGAAGAGTCTGGGCTGGAATCTCCAGAGCTCGAGTCTTCCAGGGGCGTCCGTACTGCATGTATGGAGCGGCGATTCATATCTCTCGGCCTCTCTGGTAGTGCCGGTGCCTTCTGAAGAAACTTGTTTGATCCAAACAACATCTTGCCTCGTCGTGCCTTCGTCCGCTGACATGCTGTCAATACTTCCTCCAATTCTTCCACGTCCGCCAGACGCAACATAGTCAACTTGTCTGCTAGCTCCGGGTCGTCCACCGTCAAAATGTAGTGATCGACGTGATCCTTCTGAATCTTGGGCGACCCATCCTTAATCTTCATCTTCGCCCTGAGTCCAAGCACATTCAGGCGGTACAGATAATCCAGCGGGGTCTCTTCCGACCTTTTCTTCGCATGGTAGTACTGGCGGGCGACCGGTACCCCCGTGCCACAGAACCGAATCATGAACTCTTGGATTAAGTCCTTCCAGTTTCCTCGTACCGAGCGACCCAGTTGACGGTACCAATTCTGTGCCGGTCCAGTCAGCAATCCTCCAAAAACGAGACATCGTTCATCATCTGGTGCTTGGTCTCTTATAAATGCCGTCTTGACCGTTGATACCCAGCTGCGCGCTCTTTCTTCGTCTTGGTCTCTTCCATGAAATTCTTTAAGGTCCGAGGTCGCCGATAGTTTGATGCGAGGGACCATATTTGGCATCTGTCCCAGCGCTGCGTTCGCCATCATCGACTGAGGTCCCCTCAAATCCATGTTGTCAGGGTCGAACTCACAGGAACCGACGGATTCCATATCGACGTCGGTCATCGTGTGGCCCCTTGGCATTTGTATGACTGAGTGTTGGTCATGGTGAGCGGTCATCCTTTGCGCCTCTGGTCTTCCTCCTGCTACACTCCCGTTAGAGTGTGCCTGCGGTACTTGGCGTTCATCCAAAAATCTTGTCATCGCCGCGTCGAAGAGGGTCTGCAGATCACCTACCGGGTAGGTAGGTCCTTCCCCCCCCCAGCATCTTCGTCACGGGGCAGAGCAAATTCCATTTTTTTCTCGTGCTGATTTTCCATTGGTGAAAATCGGAATGATTTTCATTCTTGCCACGCGTCGACATTTCGAGACCACGTGGTTCTTGCTCCGCGCTGCGCGCTCGGGCCTGGAGCAGCGCCGCTCTAGTAGGGCCTAGGGGCATCCTACTGACCGACCCCGGTGAGGACGATCCTGGGGACCACGGTGCTGCTTCCCTCTGGCCGCTTGGCATCAGGTGTTGAGATGGGCCTTGATTCGCCCCTGGGCGGCCGGCGGCTCCGTACATGTGGGGACCCACCGTGATGTCTTGAAGCGTCATCTGGCTGTCGTTGGACCGCATGTGTGTGGGTGTCACCAGAGGTGGGTGTTCCGTTGCTGGTGTGGTACCCACCAGGATCGACAGACGCTTGTGCATATGCTCTAACGTTGTTGTGATTCTGTCGAATCCCAGGGATAGCAGATCGTCCGGGTCGAACCGACCTGCGACCATGTTCGCTTCACGAAGCATGGTGACCAGCGCTGTGATCGCGTCCGTGACGGAGTGCAGCCGTGGCAGGGTCGACACCGGCCCAGTGAGTTGACCCAGCTGCCGGATCTCCAGGATCTTCGCGACGGGGTCGCTCTCCAGGAACGCGTTCAGCTTGCGTTGGTGGTAGGCCCTCGTGACATCAGCGTCTGTCCATAACGCCAGTCCTTCCTTCTCGGGGCCTATCGACTTGGTGTTTCCGGGTGCCTTCATCCGGAACTTCGTCGGCTTGGATTGCGCGATCTTGTTTTGTTGTTTTTTTGGGGACCTTAGCCTCTCGGTTTTCACCGTCGGCTGATGGTCCTCTGGATCATGATAGGCGTCATGACCCAAGGTTTCATCAACGAGGACATAGGGAGGGTATTTAGGTTTTTCTTCAATAAATTCAACCTCGACCATGTTGACCGGGCCCCTCCCAAGGTCCGGTCGGCCCTTCGATCCTTTGTTTGTTTCTTCTTGAGTCACTGGCGATAGGTCTTCCAGCGACTCTTCGGTCTTGTGCTCCTTCTTGACTTGAACATCTTTATCGTCTTGGGGCTCGCGGTGAAATCCCGCGTCTTCCGAAGATCCGGGCACGCGCACCATTGTGGTGGAGTGGGTTCTCAAAATTGTATGATGAGACCCCAAACCACTCACTGTGCCGGACTGCCGACTGTCGGATGGGGTACCCCGATGCCGCGTATGAACCTTCTCTCACCTTGTGTACCCGTCGGCTGGCGGGTTGCACTCTTCGGAGGACTTGGTGAAGATGTAGATGTCTGCCTTGAGGGAGGTAGACCTGGGGGACCTCGAGTGGATATGCTTCACTCGGTGGGCCGGTAGGTGGCCACTCGATCGACCTTGTCGAGAGTGAACTTAGAGCCAAATTCTTCAGGGGCGCTTGTCGTCCCTGGCCTTTTCCTTCTGTTTCAGGGGTATTAACCACCTGACCTTTACTTTGCTCCCGGCCGTGAGGTAAGGGAGGCCGCTTCCGATAGCGGGTCTTGGGGGGGGGGGGTGTTGCTACTCGAACGAGCTCACAGGTCAAATATATCCTGGAGATCTATTCGCACTTGAACTTCGCTACACAACTGTCTTCGACGGGGGGCCAAAATATATCCCTTCCCGGGACAGTGAGTAACTTAGAACAAGTCCTTCTTGGGTGACGGAGTCGTGCCACGTAGATCGCAAATTGAGTAGTATTTAATATAGTCCTACCCTTTTACCTCCTTTACTCTATCCTTGCCTGAAGCTCTGATTCCTTGCGTCGACTAGTCTGATCCTTGTATTAACTGGTCCGGAGTGGCTGAACCCCGAGGGGCCGAGGTCGACCAATGAGGGACCCAGGTCGACCAATGGGGGACCCAGGTCAACGATGAGGGACCGGGTCGACCAGTGAGGGACCCAGGTCTACCAACGAGGGACCGGGTCTACCACGAGGGACCAGGTCTACCAACGAGGGACCCGGTCTACCAACGAGGGGCCAGGTCGATCAATGAGCGGCCATGATCAACTCCCTTTGGTACCGGTTAACCGGTACCCTGATACTGATTTTCTTCGGCGGATCCTGCGGATTGTCCTCCACCAACGGTCGCTCCCCTTTGAGGCCCCTGTCTCTCTGGTCCCCTGTCCCTGACCCACGGTCTACACTCCGAATCCAACTGGATTCTGGGACCTCCACATCACAAAAACAGCACTTCACCACACATCCATGATGAAGCTCTCCATTTGTCTCGTACTCGCTGCCGTCGCGACTACAGCCACCTACGGACACGCGCCTGAGTCAATCTCTGAGATATTGCCAAGCCTCCCGGTGGAAGCGGTACCGGATTTACCTGCGGGTCTTGACCTTCCTTTGGTTTCTGATCTTCCTTTGGTTTCTGACCTTCCTTTGGTTTCTGACCTTCCTTTGCTTCGGGTGAGAAGTCTCTAATCGCAGAACAATGATAGGCTAACCCCGGAGCTAATATGAGCGGGACTGCCAAAAAAAGCTAGGGCGAGGTGTTCGGCAACGAAGTTCCTGCTTCGAAGCAACTCGAATCAAAATTGATGTGACATTGACCATTCATGCGACTACATCTATCCAGGATGCATGCTTCTAAGACGAAAGAGCGTGGCGAGCAAGAAAAGTCTGGGATATAGGGTAATGTAGGCTAGCTTGATGCAAAAGGATAAGTTGACATCAATGTATTCATACCTCACTTTCAAAACAAAAAGATTGGTCTGTCACCTACTAAACATAATCTCTCGTCATTTTGCTTCGAGCATCACCCTTGCTTGTGAAGAAGCTCAGCTGGAATGGTGGTAATGATAAAAGCTCCAAGAACGAACGACTTCGGTGGAGTTACGTAAGTGTAGACCGAGCGTTGTCTCCTACTCAGCAGAGTTTAGTGGCAAGCGTTGATTCATGCCCCGCCATCTTTGCGACCAATTTGACTGTGATGGCGTAAGGACGGCAACTAGGGGTTCCCCCCTGGTGCCTTGGGTAAGCACCGGCCTATGTCGTAAGTGGCGCAGGTTCAAATTTCCCTTCGACCAAGCCAAGGTCTCAAAAACAATGTGGCACACTGGTACCCCCCCCCCCCCCGGGAACCCTGGTACCAGTGAGTACGGCCTCTCGTAGAAGCATGAAACCCCAATACATTATAATTGGGGCTATCCGAACTGGTTGGCACCCAGAACATTCGGTTAAAACAAACCGCCCGTCCATGGCACGATAGCCATGACCGGTTAGAGGATTAATGAGCCCTGCCGAAGAGGACAAGTATCAGGCCGCTAGAGAAATCTAAATGTGCCGGCTGGCCTATATAACAAAACAAAAAAAGTACGACAACTAAGGCGATTTGGCATCGCAACAATTGAGATCTGCACCACTGTTTCAATAGATATACAAAGTCACTCTTTAATTTGGGTGGAACACAACAAGCGACAGAAACAGTACACTCTTTAAACACCACTTACATGAGTTGTGGGCAAACAATGGTGCGGCCGCTCAGGCTGCCTCGACCTCCTGACCCTCCTGATCCAACAAAGCGGACAGAGAGACAAGCTGTTGAAGCTCATGATATCAATGCGAGCATTACACCTACCCCGAATGTTGCTGAATAGAAAGATGTTGACGTGTGGTCCACTGCGGCAGTCTCCAAACTTCGGCAGGAATTCACGGCTGAAGCCAGAGCTTTAGAGGAACAGACACGGGAGCTGGATCGTATGTATCATCTTGCAACCTGTGAATACCCGCTGCATGCTGACTCTTCCATCAGAGCAATGACGGACGACGAAAAAGCGGCAATGGAAGAGTATTTAGGGCGCCGACTTGAACTTCCTGCCCCTCCCAACTTTCTCAGTTGCACAGCTACAGCTTACAAGAGAGCGGCCTTGTTGTCATTTCACAAGACACATATAGAGGCAGCCCTCGTCGCCGACGTGCCAGCTCGAGTACGCTTGGGAAGGTATACCCCGTCGGTCGGTACTACGGGAACTGGCAGCAAGCAATGCCATTACAGCTGACGCCAAGACCAGGATGAAGGCATTCCTCAAAGCTGCACAAGGTGATATTCGATGGGGAGCACACTCTGACATTTACTTTCATGTCCAAAAGAGTTGCTGACAGCTGGGTACATGAAATTTTTAAGTTGCGGGGCTGTGATATAACCCTATTAATGGCGGGAGTGGAAAGAGCGGGGATTGGCCCTCCGCCGTTAATAGCTCGCAATTACGCTATTCGAGTAATGGGAACCGAAGAATTGGATGCGCTACAGCTCATTCAAATGTTCGCAGACATAACTGACGGGCTAGTAGCAGATGTACGCCACCCTGGGGAGCCAGGTCTTCAGCAGCTAGACAATAACTACTGGATTATTGTATTCAGCACAAGAAGTTGCCCAGTTCAACTAGCAGGAATCACCTTCATCGCGTTTGGCACGAAAATGGTGCTACTACATCACTTTCAAAAGATGCAAACAGCTCCGTGCACTCTCTGTTACAATTCAGCGCACGCTCGAAGTAGATGCACCGTCAAAGAAAATAGGCTGGGGGAAGTGAGATCGCACAGACAACGCGAATATATCGGAAATACGAGGCGCCAACGCTGACGGCTTTACCAGACTGTATTAATCTGTCGGAGCTGGAAACTCACTTGGTGGCACTAACATTCCCGAAGTATATTGCAGGGTGTGGGGACGTCACACGTGCGCCGGTGTTACGGGAAGTGGTACCACCGGCTACTGCCGCAAATGCGCATGCTATGGAAACCGCTCCGGCGGTGTCCGGCATGACTGTGACACGCGCGATTCGCTCATCCCGCAAAGGCGGGCGTTTAGGGGATCGTGAACGTAATACTAGGACTGCAGATCGAACGGTTGCGGCGGGTACATCGCATCAACAACTCTCAGCAGCACAAGACAATTTGCGGGTGCAACACGGACGTACTATTGGAGCTGAGGTGGCTCGAGGAGAGGCAGGTCCAACACCACGAGCGCGGACGACGACGACAAGACACGAAAAGAAGAAAAAGCACCGCGTACCGAGTCGAAAACATGCAACCACGGCGGCGGCGCGTTATAAACAGACGATGGCTGTATATGAGGAGCTCATGGGGGAGTCAGACAAGTTTGATAGTGAGTACAGCGAACCGGAAGTGGAGGAGGGCCTCAGGGAACGGAAAGTGGAGCAAAATTCGTCGCCAGAGGACGATGCAATGGATGGTGGCACTGCTCTTTCATCTGCCTCAGCTGTGGCTTTAGGCAATAGTGACGAGCATGTGGTTTAACATAACATTGCAGACAATTATCATCAGGTATTCGGGATAAACCACGAGGCCACATATGACAATCAAATATCTGCGGACTCCCAATGTATTGGAGCAAATACGGACAAATTATCAGTCGACACATCAAATACTCAGGAATTAATTAGTGAACCTAACTACGACGGGGATGTGGAGATGGTAATGGAGTCGCCTCGAAACGATGCTCTCCAACCTAATTCTGGAAATTGGGACGTCATTATTGAGAAGGTGGTGCCTCTAGTAACGGATGCGGTGTCGTATCAGCAGTGGATTGATTGCTTAAAAGGGACGCCAGTATCAGTACCGGCAAATGGGCAGTGTCTTTTCCTGGCTTTATCTGCATCGCTTAAAAATGTGCAATCCCGCTTCTTCAGTGTTGTTGGAGATAACTTGATTTCTGTGAACACAGTCAAACACGATGTAATTAATATCTTACTGACCAATTTGCGAAGAGACGTAATGTTGGGTTTGGTGGACTCCAAACAGGAGTTACGCCGACTTTTAATAGGTAAATCTGTTCCAGCTATGACGCAAGCTGCAACTGCAGCTCTGTTTAAGCACTATCTTCTCATTCGAGATGTTTTAGTAATGCGTGATGTACCTATGGAATTCTGGGAAGGGCCGCATATACTAAGAGCGGTGGCGGTCTACTTACGAGAACCGGTTTATGTCTGGGATGTGTCAGCAAACGACACAGCTCATGTCCAGCGCTACACATTTGCAACTTTAATTATGGATAACGGAGAGGCTCACGAAACCGGGCAAGTCGAGATGGTTTCGGATGATGTAATGAAGATATTCCTGGATGCATGCTTCCATATTCACGTTTTTCCAGTGATGCTGCTCCTAAAGCATGTGGAAAGCCATTTATATGGTGTCCAACATGGAAACCTTATTTTTGAATGGCATGCGCAACGTGGTCCTGATATGCGTAGCAGACTCGACAGCGTGCACGAGGCGACTGGCTTCCCCAAACTTCCGTCGGTTGGGTATGATCTAGACTCAGTTCGAGCCGAGGTAACGCTGGAAGATCAATTTGTGTGGAAGATTTAGGCGTTGATCTGTATGCAAATGGGTCCCAAGATGGTGGTTGTCACAGCCTACACAATAGGATTCGATAAATAGAAAATACCCTCCTGCATCAGCGCATGTCCATTCAGAAGTATATGCGCGCATCTTAAGGTATGATGATATGTCTCAAATGGGCGCTATTGACGCCCGCATTGCGGGTCGCCTTCACTCGGTAAATGAGGACGTATTTGCGGAATGGGCACAGACGGAAGGCATTAAACATGGGCTACCTGCAATGGATGAGGGGAGGCGATCATGGGCACACGCTACGGATTGGCTCTGTAGCAATCCAGCCGCAATGCGCCAAATTATGGCTCTCCTCCCTTTTCCAGAGCTCGCAGCACAAGCCTGCAATCAGCATCAACGTGAAGACTGGGGCGAACGGGAAGCTTTTGCCCAGCAGCTTCAGATGCTAGATCGTATACAAGAAGATGAGGAAAATGACGACAGAGCTCGTACCATGTGTGCCGAATGGGCGACAATTTGTCGTACTGCTGACTACACGGAGGCGGTAGTGTTGGCTAGAGACAAACAAAGATGGGACAAGCTGAACACCTACGTAGATGATTCTATTATGCGGTCTAGACCGTTGGAGATACCTTTGAACCACTGGTTCACTTTACACGTTTTACCTCACACTATCCGAGAGTGGTGCGACACCGTCATGGGTCGCGCGCCCGCGAGCACTATCGCTGTGTGGTTCGTGAATTTGAGCAAGTACAACAACTATGCCTGGCTATTGCTGACAATCAAGATTGGAGTCTTGCAGTACATCTACAATTGGGAGTGGCACGTGTGCTTGCACCCTCTTCCACGGCGAAAGTCGGTGGGGAGGGGCAGGCCGCTCCACACCAGTAACACAAGCCTACAGGCCGCAATCGTCTCCTCGAGGTAATACGCAAACCACTATGAAAACGTTTTACCCTTCGCAGCAAGCCGATGCTAGGGAATATGCGTTAAACCGAGAATTTGGCAGACAACGACGAACGGTCTTAGCACGGAGGCGAGCCTCAGTCAAAAAGATGCGCATGGTTTCGGGATGTAATACGGGCAAAACAAATTTGGAGCAAACTATTGGTTTACTGACACAAAATGTCTGCGGATTCGGCTCTGGAGATACAGATACGGACCTTTGGCTTGCGTCTTTTAAGAGGGACCGCTTCAACGGACATAACAATGTCATTATGTTGCAGGAAACTCATGTGACCAAAACCACCAGCCACATATTTGCGGCTAAAGTGGCTCACCAATGGGGTTATAGGATCAATAATGGGGCGCCTACTCTATCGTATTGGTCAGGAATTGAGACTAATTCTGCTGGAGTGGCAATTTTGTTGCACCCTCATGGCAAGTTCACAGACCCAGAACCTTACTTACAACAATGGTGGACGCCTAATTTGATGATGATAACGGTGAAAACAGCGGATATAAAGGTGGTTCTTGTCAACATATATGCACCGACAGCGCGAAGGGATAGGGAGACCTTCTACACGTTGCTCAGGAAGGTTCCATTTGTGGCTACTGATTACCTCTTAGTCGGTGGTGATTATTATTGCACCCATCATACATTGGCGGATCGCTCCAACAACACAGCAGCCTCGAACAATTCTTCACCAGGACTTGCCAAGTGGTTGTAACAGCTCAATTTGACTGATTTACTGCAACTCACACTTCCACTGCCTGGCAACGATGACGGACTAACGGCATTTCAGCATACACAGCATAGCTACACCTACACACTTCCAGGCAAGGAAACCGCGTCTAGCATAATTGACAGGTGGTATCATTCGGATGCTTTACGAATGTGGGTAGTTTTCACTTCGGTGCCGCTTGACGGCCTAGAGTCCGACCACAAAGGAGTATTGCTTGAATTACGAGACCCGAAGCACCCAATTATAGTACACAAGCCGCCCCAAGTGTACCCGGTTCCATCGTATGCGCGTATGCAAACTCGCGAATATATCGTTGGTAAATTGACATGGTTGCCGCTGATATGTAGTTAAACTTCATGAAAGGGGCAGATATGTCGGAGTGATGGGATCGTCTGAAATGGAAATTGTGGGTGGCATAGCCCGGGTAAAACGCACCATTCGCCACGCTAGAACGAACACGTATCGTCGCAAGCTCCGAAGATGGTATCACAAGTTACATCAACTTTAAAAGCAACAGAATCAGCCCGGCGAGGACAATCGGACCTTTTCCGCCGGCGAACGCATAACGACTAAATGCAACGACATTACGCGCAAAATTGCGAATCTGAAACGAGAACGTATTCGGTATAAAACATCTCGACTCTTTCAGTCGCATGCGTGGCGTCCTGGGCAAACTTCGAGAGAATTTTTTAGGCAAATTTCGACAAAATTTGCCGACAATGCTATTCCAACACTACTGGGCAACGATGGGAGGGCTGTTGCTACAGCACAGGAAAAAGCGAATGCAATGGCGGCAGCTTGATAACCAGTTATGACGAAGGTCCCGCTGGGGAAGACCCATATGGACGCCTAATTGAGTGGATGCCTCAGGCGAGGCAAATGCCTACAGAGTTGTTTAATACCACTATGCTGATAACGGAGGACACAGTAGCCAAGGCAATTCGCGCCTGCAAACCGGGAAAAGCTTGTGGTCCGGATCATCTGGGCAACGAATTTTATCGAGATTATATCGAGGAGCTGACACCGATCCTCACTACACTATATCGCCAGTGGTATGAGCAACAACTATTTCCGGCATCGTTCACTAAGGGCAATATTTTTTGCTTAAAGAAGTCAGGAGATTCGGGAAATCCTCTCAACTACCGACTACTGGCTCTCCTCAATTCAGATTATAAAGTTAATCATGCGAATCGTCACAACGGCTGTACGAAAAGTGTTAAACGAGCGAATTAATCAGTTCCAATGTGGGTTCGTCCCGGGACGCACGATTCACACCACTCTGGACTGCTATGCTGTGGCACGACAGATGGCGAAATGCAGGCCGGAAGCACGTAACGCGCTGGCCTTGTTGTTGGATTTTGCTAAGGCTTATGACAGCCTAGACCGAGACTTCATGATAAAAGCACTTAAGCGTCACGGTTTTCCACCACGTTTAATCCAAGTTATAAAAGTTCTACACACAAACACCAGTGTGCGCTTCTTAGTTAATGGTACCCTCTCATCCCGAATACAAGTTACAAGGGGTATCCGGCAAGGATGTCCGTTGGCACCTTTCTTATTCATTCTCGCACTGGAACTGCTATATTCAAAGCTGGATGGGGGTGAGGTTCACTCTGGAATTTCAGTGGTTACTGACGCAGCATCAACAGCGCTTTGAATGGCTGGGTATGCTGACGATACCACAGTCTATTTGCGCCATTTGGCAGATCTAAACAAAATTTTATACGTTATTTGTGACTTCGGAGCAGGCTCAGGTTGTAACAGGGTATCTAGTTACACGTAAACATTAAGTAATATACTTGATGTATGGTCTAAAAGTATCCATGATTACTTTTGACCAGTCACTTGGGTGCGATACACAAATGTGATCCACCCTCGTGAATGTGATATTCATTGATGGATTCACATGAGAAGGGATGACGCTAGTTGAAGCTAGGCATCACGACG